AATTCGTAGATTTAGGAAGCATGACTGCAGTTAAGCGCGCCCTGGATGAGCGATGGCTAGAGCTCTGTCCAGAGAAGGATCTTTGTGATAATATGGAACGCCTTCATGACCCATATCCCTTGTTCGCCGATGAGGTGAAAGAAGACGAGCTTTTTCTTTTCCCTATCAGCAAGGACGCCGTACTGAGGGCAATTTGCAGTGGTGGGTGCACACCTTGTGAGGATACTGCCCGAAGAAATCTGGACGCTCGATTGGCCGTGACCATTATCAGTCCTGTGCAACCTGACCTGACGTAACCTGTCTCAGCAATCTGTTGCACTTTTTATATGAAGTCACAGCTAGACTGGATGATGGTAAGGAGGTAGAGGTATGCAATCTGGACTTCAGCAAAGCATTTGACTCAGTATGTCATCGCTTACTACTGGCCAAGATAGATGCTCTTGGGATAAGTGGTAACATTCACAGGTGGTTAACGGATTTCCTGACCGATTGGACCTTCCAGGTGCGGGTCGGAGAAGCTAACTCACCAGTGGGAGCTATTGCTTGTGGTGTCCAAAGATTAACCACAAGGATGATCAAAGGACAACGAGGGAAGTCGTATAAGCAGAGACTGCAGGAACTTGGGCTATTCTCCTTAGAAAGAAGAGGACTCCGAGATGACTTGATTGAGACATTCAAATTATGAATGGCCTATCAGGGACGGATCAAGCGGTGTTCTTCGAGAGAATGCAAAGCAATACTAGGAGGCACATGTAAAAGCTGAAGAAATTGCGCACGAGACTAGCGGTGCGTTCGAATTTCTTCAGCAACAGGGTAGTCAACGCGTGGAATAAGTTGCCGCGGGAGTTCGTAGAGCTAGGGAGCGTATATGCTTTCAAGAACGAGCTCTATAAGCGCTGGTTGACTTTATTTCCCGAATTAAACGCATTGGTTAAGGCCTGGAAACAGGGGTGGGTTTTTCGTTCATTAACCACCTCCATCCGAGGAAGGCTTCCAAATGTGAGGTCTCTCGCCTGAAAAAGAGGAGATTTTTTTCCATTCTCTTCCCTTGCAGAGACGGAGATAACTGAGACGTGAAGAAAACTTGTAGAACTGCAATATGGAACATTCGCAATGGTAAGGGCCGGAACGTGACTTACTACGGGAGGAAATCTGGACGCTCGATTGGCCGTGGCCATCTCCTGTACTGTGCAAGCTGACTGACTGACTGACTGACCTGAACGATAACGGTGCGTACCCCGCGCGCGGTTTAAATTTCGACGTGCTCTCTACTCCAACCTATTTATGCTAACAAAGTGGAATATCTACCGATATTTCACTTACTATACACTGCCTAGGTTAAACCAAGGCACTTTTTATAATTCAGTGACCGATCACAGGTCACTCAGTTTTACAGAGTTCGTGGTAGTATTTGGTTTTGCACAAACAGTTGTTTAATGTTTTTGTCGCGTACATCTGGGTTCCTTTTTTCCAGTTTACCAGTTTTGAAAGTAGTCATTTTATTGATGTTAAATTTTTAAAATTTTTCCACCTTTCAATGTCTGCACGGAATGAGGTAAATGAATGAAATGTGGCGGCTGTGAAGAGTTTGTGGCCGAGGGTATCCAATGCAAACGAAGCCATCTTTGGTATCATAAGCGCTGCAGTAAGCTGACAAAAAGGTGCTACGACTTATACACGATCAATAGTTCCCTGCGATGGATCTGTGTCCACTGTATAGCGTTGATAGAGGAATG